ACAGACACAACAGATCAATGGGTAGTAGAAGAGGAGGAGCCAGTGTTGCACAAGAGAGCGTTCCTTGAGGCTATCGGTGATGAAGATATTAAAGAAAGTGATGAGCAGCATGAAAAAGGAAGCAGCCAGCTAATGTATCCACAATATGTCGGTGATATTGCACCTAATGAGGGAGAGTGGGAAGGGGGTCTAAGAGAAAATGAGAGAGATGATGATTCTGAGGCCACTCTATCCCAGCCATATTATTCACATATCGAGTCCCAACAGCAACAGTGTAGGGATGAGCGCGACAGTGCAGGTGAGCATGAAGGATGGACAAGCTTAGGGGATTTTGGATTGGGAACACAACCAAACACTAACACTCAGGGATTTGGGAATAGTCAGACGCCTGCTAATATCGATGATTCGTTTTTAGATCGAATCAATGAATTGTCAAACGAATTCAATCAATGGCACCAGCGTGACCAAGAAGGACAACAACGTCGTCTATCATTTTATTTTTAGATCGTATGATACTAATTTTATGCTTTATTGTAGTCCATGTATGTTGATATACTTATTCCATGATAATTCTATGTTTATCCTTTTGTGTGATGTAAATTAAATGCTGAATGACGGTTCATACAGGGAAAGAACATATCAATATTCGCATATTCATTCAAAAACATGAAAATTTTTAATGGAATACCCTCATTTCTTATTGAATTCCTAAAAAATAATATTTATAATGAATTTTAATAATTTTTTCGGATTTTTTTTGAAGCTTTATTCTGACCGATTCACCCGATTCCCGATCGGGATCGCCGATTCGCCGATCCAGATCGGTTTCTTGGATGCTCGATCCGAATCACCGATCCGTTTTTAAACCATTGGTAATAATATAAACATGATGGTTCAACGCCCTATTTTATCGACCACTATAGGGATTATCACGGTGCCACGATGGTCCTGTGATGGTCTATAAAATATGATTAGCGCGTTGATCCATGTGATGATCTATAAATACGGCATGAAACCATCCATCAGTTTACCGTGATCGTCCATAAAACAACTTGAGATATGAGAGTTGGGCATTGGACAATCTTGGTTCTAAAAGAACCGTGAACGGTATTTTTGGTAAAAAATTATAGAAAGTTAAAGAATGGATATGGACGTAGTTATTAAAAGATTTTATTATTTTTCAAATTTATTGGGAAAATGGGATAATTCTGATAATTTTCCTTCAATTAACCACCTCATTAATTTGATGTTGGACCATTTTAGTGATATTTTACAAAAAAAAATTTTAACTCGCCAAAATCCTTATGAGCATTTTCTAATATAATTTTTCGTGAGCTGACAACAAACTTAACCTGGCATGCCGTCACCTGTTGGTGAAATTTATGGCGTTCACTCTATGGATGGACTAAAAGTGCATCGATCTTTTTGTACATGAATAAAATATGTTATTCGGAGACATTGTCAGCTCCCCCAAAGATTTGATACCTCAAGATTTATGGACCAGGAAATGTCTCTTCAAGTTTCTAACGATCTATTAGGGTCCCAAAGAATCTCAATAAAATTTGTGAAAAAGAGAAACGTTAAAGAACAGATTCATGTTTCTAGGTTAAAAATTGCATCCAACCTCCTTTTCTTATTTATTTATTTATTTATTTATTTTATTTATTATTATTTTTTAACATTAACGCAACCTAGAAGTCAAGAAAAAAAAAAGATTGTATACTATAAGAAATTTGTTTTGGAAATAGATCACAATCACTTCTAGTTTTCAGATATCAAATTCGATAACTCGTGTCATAAAGTTTGAAAAATCTCTTTTTAGACTTTTAGCCTAATTAATGATATAATACACATGGCCACCCCATTTTAAATCTAAGATTGATTTTTGAACGAGGCCACACATTTGAATAGTTATGCCTACTGAACACCAAAACCCCATTTAACTTGTGGCTCAGGTCTTATTTCTTTAGGGCCATATTTCAGGGGCGTTTTAGTCAATTTATATTTTATGAATTAATTTTTTTTATATTTTTATTAGGTGCGTCTTGATTAGAAGAATGAACGTCTAAAATTTCAACTGATTTGAACTTTTATAAAAAAAATAAAAACAAAAAAATTCAAATACAAAATAATATTATGACTGTCAGATCGACCCATATTCAATTTGGGCCGTTGGTCGACATTGTAGTTGTCAGCCTATAGGCTGATAAAACGGTGTAAACCCAACTGGTCAGATTGAATCTGGGCTGATCCAATGATCACAATTATATTTCATAATTGAATTTTTTTTTTTTTCATATACATTCAAATCACTTGAAATTTGGAGCGTATATTCTTAAAAAATATTGGAATCTAATAAAATATCAAAAAAATAATTCGTATAAAATAAATTGATCAAAATACCCTTGAATGTTCCACATGTAGTTTGGTCAATTTATTTTATGCAAATTATTTTTTAAATATTTTTATTAAGTGCTCCTTGATGAGAATAGTTGATGTTCTAAAATTTATGTTATTTGGATTTATATAAAACATATTAAAATTATATTACTGAATTACAATATTGACTGTCAGATCGGCCCAAATTCAATATCAACCATTGGGCTTATACTGTTCTATCAGCTAGCGGGTTGACCTTAACATCATCTAGTGA